TTGAGGCTCTTGCAGCGACCTAAATTCAGCTCCCAGCACCTACATCAGGCAGCTTACAACCATGTGTAACTCCAGCTCCAGCCCTCTTGTCGTCTCTGCAGGCATAGGCACACATACATATTTTTTAATTTTTTTAAAAAAACCTTATGAATTCATTGCTCTCCCACTTCACCCCTGTTCAGCTCGATCATCCAGTTCCCTATGTTCTCATCCCCCATCTCCTACCCTCCATTGCCCCCCATCCCCAGTTTACTCATAAAAATTCTTAATAAAAATTTTTTTAAAAAAATTAATTCATATGACCAATTGAACTGAGAATCTAGTCCTGAAATTGAGCAATGAGCTCCAATGTCTTCATTTTATAGAGAATCAAAGCTTATTAAGAAATCTGCCACACCCTGCCTTGGTAAATCAAGGCATTCCTGTCACTTTCTAGCTCTTACTTTCCTCACTCATCTTTTCCACACTCATCTCAGAAATCCAAAATCAGTGAGAAACACCCCACACTCCTCAATTTAGCTTTTATAAAGCTCCACTCAATGTCCCTCCCCCACACCAGCCTCAAAGGAGTGTAATTTGTGGCTCATTGACTTTTGGTTAGGATTGCAGTCCAGTGGAACTGTGTGAGCATTCCCACCTCCAATTATCAGGTGCACTGCCACCTGACCATCCCAAACACAGGCATCCTATGGCATTCAGATTAGTGTCCCCTGGCTGATGCAGTCACAGGAAGAGAATTATACCTTTGTTTTCTCATTGAGATGACTCTTAGATCCACAAAAAACTTTTTTGCAGGGAAGTAGAGTAAAGAAACAAAGACCTGGGAAACATACAGTGTACAAAATTTTCTTTTACTAGTATATCCTTGAAGCCAAGTTTTGGGGATTGTTTAGTTACATTTCTTTTTTTTTTTTTTACTGAGATAAGACACCATGACCAAGATGATTTATAAAAGAAAGCATCTAACTGGGCTTATGGTTCCAGGAGGTTAGAGTCCATGATGGTGGAGTAAAGACATGGCAGCAGGAACAGCTGTGAGCTCACATCAGAGAGAGCTAACTGGAAACACCAAAGCCTGCCCCCAGTAACATACCTCCTCCAACAAGACCACAACTCCTAATCCTTCTAAGAGTTCTACCAATTAGGGACCAAGTTTTCAAACACAGGAGCCCCTGGGGGCCATTCTCACTCAAACCACTACAGGAGTCTAATCACAAAGGTGTTGCCTTTCTGCTCTTTGACACATTTCCCACACTTGTGCACATGTACATACGTATTCTAGTAAAGTCATCACTTGAGAATTAAGGGCTACTCTTTCCCATTCCTGGGAGTGCTCCACTTTGCACAGAAACCGGATTATGTAACTAGAATAGAAAAATCAGGTAATTTAGTCGAGTATTCGGCAGTCATGAGTTAAGACAAGACGCCTTATAATTAGATGCAGCATGCTCAGGGTTAAAATTTAATGATCTCATTTTCCCTGTATTTGAGGGGTGTGTAAATTCAGCTCAGGGCAAAGGTGTTATAAAGAGGCAAATTACTACTTGCTGAGTTTGCAGTTGTCTCGCAAGCCCTTGTGTCTGAACCCTCTGAGATATTGAGATTCTAGTCTTTTTTTATATGAAATCCTGAATTTGGATTCTGTAGTCCTACTTCATATTTTCTGTGCAGATTTAAAGGAAATTAAACTAGACCTAGTTCTGTGAAAAATATGTTGAAAAAATATTCTGCACTTCCTTTGAAATGTGTGAAAGGGACTGGAGAGACGGCTCGGTGGTTAAGAGTGATTGCTGCTTTTGCAGAGGAGCTGAACTTGGTGCCTAGCACCTGTAACTCCAGTTCCAGGGAAACTGATGCTTTCTTCCGGCCTCCAAGGACATTTCACTCACATGGTACACACTTATTCAGACCTATACACATAATACATTTTTAAGTTGAAATTCCCCCAGATCGTTGAGTTTATTCCAGGACATTTTAGCTTAGGAAAATATCTTCAGACATAAACAGCTGAAGTGAAAAATAAGAAGCAGTTGTGAAGAGAGAAAGAATCTGCAGTAACAGAAGAGAAAATGGAGTAATTGAATTTGTTATGCACCAGGCGTGGGTTCAGACAAGATGCTGAAGCCAGAGGTCAACAGTGGGGCGTGTGCAGCACGTCACCTCTGTGACAGCATTCATGCTAGCCACTTCTGCTGGCTCTGCTTCCCCTTCTGAATAAGTGCTCCCTTTTACTGCTTTTAGCTCCCAAATTCTTATAACAGTGATGATAACGCAATATTTATAGGTGTGTGTGTGTGTGTATATATATATATATATATATATATATATATATATATCTTTTTAAAATTATTTTTAAGCTATAACACTACAGAATACTATCAAAAACACTATTTCATTTTTATTTTATTTTTATTTCAGTCATTTCTAAATAATAGATTGCAATTGTATTATTTCTCACTTTTTGTTTAACGTAATTTCCTCTGGCTTGAAAACACACACTGTATGTCAGAAATACCTGAAAATAGAAATTTAAAATGGAATCATAATACAACATAACTCTAATGGCCCCACTAGGACTTGATGCATAAAATAATTTCTTGGTTATTGTTGTTGTTCGTTTTCGGTTTTGGGATTTTTTTTGATTTTTTTTATTGTTTTTATAAGGGAAGGAGATGGTTTGAATTCTGGTAAGTACTGTCTCGTGTTTCTGCCTTGCATCTTATTCAAACATCCCCATCAGTGTAAATTAAAGCATTAAATCTTCTTATTCCTCTGTCAGAAATAACAATGGTTTTTCCTATAGAATAAGAACATCTTTGGAGATCATGTGGGAAGGAAAAATGTTCTCAGAATGCTCACAAGTCCTGCCACTGTGAGACTCTCGATTGATCTCAGATTCAGCTCCCTCAATACCTACCCAGCACCATCTTTATAATCAAATATACAGATGGAAGCCTCACGGTCATCCAGGCCACTTGGTTATTAACATCCATGTTCCTTCCTCCCTGGTTGGCATGACTAACCCTCGCAAGCTTTTGATCACACAGCAGAACTAGATTGCATCCATCCTGAAGCTGTGCATACTAAACTCCAAAATTCTTAGATTCTTTCTGAACCAGTCCCAAATGTGAGTACCTCAAACACTATCCACTAGAAAGGCTTTGATTAGTCACACCCTAGATTTCTCTGGTAGTACAGAAAAACAAAAAAACAAAAAAAAAATACAAGACATATCTTCTGCAATGAGAAGGAAGTCTAAGCCATAGCCTAGGTAAGAGAGGAAAGCAGCAATTTTGCATCACAGCTCTACCAAAAGCTAAATAAAAAAAATTGAGGATCTTGTCAATAAAATATACATCACAGAAATGCTCCAACAGCTACTCCAAATCGAGCAGTATCTGCCAGGAACCATCTAATTAGAGTCTTCCACCACTCATGTGATGAGGACATTATGACTACAAGGGTCCTGGTTACCCTTAATTGACAATTTGACAAAGCCTAGAATCATCTGAGAGGAGAAGCTTCAACTGAGGAATTTCCTGTATCAGATTGGGAATGGGCATATCAAGGAGAGGCTGTCTTGATTCATGATAAATGCAGGAGCACCCAGTCCACTGAGGGCGGCACTATTCCTAGTCAGATGATCCTGGGATGTATAAGGAAACTAGGTAACTGTGAGCCTAAGAGCAAGCCAGAAAGTGATCTGGGGAGCAGTGTTCCCTCATAGTTGCCGCTTCAAGCTCCTGCTTTGAATTTTGGCCCTGATTTCCCCAATGACAGACTATAACCTGGAAGTATAAGCCAAATGAACCCTTTCCTCCCTAAGTTGCTTTAGGTCAGAGTGTTTCATCTCAGCAACAGAAGTAAACTAAAACAAAGGAAGAAATCTACACATTTAAGAACACAGAGAGTAAGCCAAATGTGGTGGTACACGCCTTTAATCCCAGCACTGGGGAGGCAGAGGCAGGCGGATCTCTGTGAGTTCCAGGCCAGTCTGGTCTACAAAGTGAGTTCTAGGACATCTTGGGCTGTTACGCAGAGAAAACCTGTCTTGAAAAGCAAAACAACAAAAACAAATGTGGAGAGTTATCAATGATTCCTAGAGTCTGGAGGAGAGCTATGGGGTGGTTTCTGACTTCAGGTCCACAGAAGGAGCCACACTTGCAGACATTTTCAGACTTCTGGTCTCCTCACTTGCACTGTAAAAAAAAAAAAATATTTACATTGTTATAAGCCATGTAATCTGTGACAATTTGTTACAGCAAGCCTAGGAAGTTACCACCATCATCCTCAGAACTGATGACTTCCTAAGCCGTCTGCCTCAGGCTGTGCTATGGTACCATATCTCAACAACAAAGCAACCTATAAGGAAAAATGTGTTCTTATTGTTCCTTTCAGCAGATAGAAGCTGACACCCAGAGACTTTCAAATCTTCATAGAAGGGAAACAGGGACACTCACCCCTTCTCCCTGATACCAAGGGTTCTTTTAGGGAATTGCACTTGCACAACATGATGTATTAGAGCTTTCCTTAAAAATAAAATCTGAATGACGTAGCTTGGAGTTGACGTAAATGTAGCTCCATCTTCTGTGCCCTTTAACCGTGTGTCCATGTGACACAGCAGAGGCATGGCCGGGGAGTAGAGTGGTTAATGTTTACATTGCCTCTCCCTCCCCTTCCGTGTTTGCTGGGCTGTGGGGGGTGATGCACAGGTCCTGTTTACGGTTATCAGTGTCTTCTCGGCACTTAGACCAGCACTGAGTCTCTGCATGAACCACTGCCCACTGCAAAAGGAGCTTCCCTGGCAAAGGATGAGAGCAGGGCCAATCGCTTTAAGTCCTCCTAGCTAAACTCAGTGTATTCCCACACCCCAAAGACTGATAGGAGAGGGACTTGCTGAGAAGAAGAGGTTCCGTGGAAATCAGAAGAAGAAAAGAGGAGGTGAATGTGATCAAAATTCATTATAGATGTATATGAAACTATCAAAGAATAAATAAAGTATACTTACCTGCCAGGGGAGATACCATGATCAGGAAGGTGGTTTTTCCCCAGGGCGAGGCTTATCCATTGCACTCTGGATGTGCCATCCCCTGCAATTTCCCCAAATAAGGGAAACTTGACTGCATAATTTGTGGTAGTCGGGGACTGTGTTCAGGCTCTCTCATAGAGAGAGAGAGAGAGACAGAGACAGAGAGAGACAGAGAGACAGAGACAGAGAGAGAGACAGAGACAGAGAGACAGAGAGAAGGAAGGAAGGAAGGAAAGAAAGAAAGAAGGAAGAAAGGAAGGAAGGAAGGAAAGAAAGAAAGAAAGAAAGAAAGAAAGAAAGAAAGAAAGAAAGAAAGAAAGAAAGAAATTTCTTTTTTAAAGGGTGATCTGAGATAACACCAGATTTCAAATATCCACAATGCACCTATAAAGTAGTTCATGAACCATATAAATGGATATTTTGACAAACTTTCCAATAGGAAATAAAGTAAAGGGCTCTCTTTCTCTGTCTCTGTCTCTGTCTGTCTCTCTGTCTCTGTCTGCTCTCTGTCTGTCTCTCTGTCTCTGTCTCTGTCTCTGTCTCTCTCTCTCTCTCTCTCTCTCTGCCTCTCTCAACTGCTTCTCAGGACTGTGGCTTTCTACTTGGCTAATTACATTCTATTGCTTATGTGGACTAGGATTTTCTCTCCAGAAAAGCTGGACAAGTAATTTTAAAGAGTGAAGTAGAGAGGGCCTCTCAATTCCTTTCTTCTTTTCAGGCACCAAGATACCACATAAAGCTACTTATGCTCAAGGCTGGCAACACAGCCCCAGAGGGGAATGGTGATTGATATACTTCCCAAAATTCTCACTGCACTACCCAAATGTGTCTTTATCAGCCTCAACCTCAACCCAACCGCATGTCTGCTAAAAGGTTTTAAAGAAACGAAAGGTAAAAACATGTATTCAACATTCAAAAACATTTACTGAACACCTCTGTTTAGTTTCCTTCTTTGATATGATGAAACACTCTAACCCAAAGCAACTTGGGGAGGAAAGAGTTTATTTGGCTCATGCTTCCATGTCACAGTCAATCGCTGAAGGAAGTCAGGGCAAGAAGAAACTTAAGGCAGGAACTGAAGCAGAGGCCGTGGAGGAAGTCTGCTTGCTGGTTACATTCTCAGAGATTCATGCTTCGCTAGCTTTCTTATACAGCACAAGACCATATGTCTACAGAATAGTGCAACCCACAGTGTACTCAACCTGCTGCTTACGTCAATTAAACACCAATATAGTCCCTCACAGACATGGCCACCGTCCAATCTGGTCTATTCTCAGTTGAGACTTCTGTCTCAGATGGCAGTATACTGTATCAGGTTTATAACCAAAGCTAACTAAGACAATGTATTACATAAAAAAATCTGATTAGAAGTTTGGGTTGTTCATATTATGCCATGTTTGTTGGTTGATGTCCCTGGGAGGCCTCCTCTTTTCTGAGGGGAGACAGAGAGGGTGTGGATCTGAGGGAGAGAGACTGGGAGGAGGGGAGGGAGGAGAAACTGTGGGCAAGATGTAATATATAAGAGAAGAATAATTTTTAAAAAAAAAGAAAAGAAATTTGGCTATTAACAAAACCATAAATAACTAAATGATAAATGTAGAAATAAAATCTATATTAAAAATACCATAGATTTTTGGGGAAAGCTGAATGGAAGAAGGGCAATTAGAGTCTAGTCTTAGAAGCTGAATGTGATCAGGTCAGGAGATCTCTGGGAGTGGGGATAGAGGGTAAGAAGAGGGACAGGGTTTCCTGATACAGTTCCATTCCATAGATAGGGCTCAGGAAGTCACGTGATACACTGGGCATTGCATCATCTTCCAGCAGTGCAGAATGCAACCTTGTTGGACAACTGTGAACACTATGCTGTCAAAGCTGTGGACAATGATACCCATCTGTATGTTGAAATGGTCAACATGCAGACTAATAGTAAATAGCTAACTGTCTCCTTCCAAAGCTAATGGAGGAAGTGGTAGGTTTCCGAGCCAGCAGAGGAATTGATCCTGGACCTGTGTGGAATTCCCTGAGGGGCTGAGGACAGCTGCAGTCCCTCTCCTCATTCCAGTCTCTTCAGATGCCTGCTATCCAGATGTGAGCTTCTGCAGGGTGTAGGGGGCATAAGTCTTCAATTTCAGACCTCTAGAGGCAGATATAGGAGTCTAGCAAATTCCAGACCAGCCTACACTACACAGAGAGACCCTGTCTCAAACCCAGAAAACAACAACAACAACAAAAATACATAACCAAATCAGAGCTTCTCTCTTAGAAAGTGCTCAGGCCAGAGAAATGGTAACTGTTTGGCTGTCAAGACCACACAACACACAAAGGGTAAAGACTGCCTTGCCTGGAAAAGAGGTTGACTGTGGAAATCTGACCTGGACAAAAACAGAAGCCTGATCAAACTTTAAAACAACTACCAAGGACAGGATGAGTCTATTTCTAGATAATCCTTTCTTTTAGAAACAGGCATCTAAAGGCAGGGAAATAGAATTTATCACAATCTAATAAATACAGGTTCCCAAGGCTGATACCGTATTGAGATTTCTCTTCTGGGGAGCTATGTGGGTGACGGTCAAATCAGAGCAATCCAGATCAGTTGTCAGCTTAGAGTCCCCTATAGTCCACACCAGATGGCAGGAGTGTCCATAGTACAGCAACCAGAGTAAGGGGACCCCCAGGGAGTTGGGGGACTGACAGCTCCTAAGCCACGTCGCAATCAGGTGAAAATCTCCCGCCAATACGATAATATTTCAAACTTAGAGCTGGCCTGGCCTGGACAATGGGTCATCCCACAGTAAGGACATCAGTGCTTTATCCTAGAAGGGGACCACTCCACAGACAGCTTGGACCCAGGTAAATAAGGGGCCTTGAAAGAGTTTGAGCTTCGATGACTTCTATGTGAATGATATAAATTAGAAGATGTGCCATTTTCACCCAATATTAAAGTAACTTGAAAGGCCAGTTGTACGAGTAGGGCATGGATCCAGAGTCAGAACTCAAGGAGAAATCATAGAAAACCCACATCTACTATTTGCTGGACAACTTGGAGAAGACTTTTCAGTGCACTCTGCTCCCTGTACATCAGGTTATCCATGCACCAAGTGGAAGGAGCGGTGCTCTCCCTTTCTCACAGAGCTGTATAAATGCTGAAGGAGCTCCACAAATCTAAAGAGATCAAACAGATGGTCTTTGGAAAATGTCATTGTGTATCGAACCAGACTCGAGTTTTGATGAAGGCAAAATGCCCATCCGACAAATTCTAACTCATGCTCAAGCCAAGAAGGACCACACGATCTCCCTTCCATCGGGGATTCTAAAAGCTTAAAGCACTTTGCGGCATAAAGCACATTCAACTCACTATTGTAAGCAGATGTATTTGCTAAAACAGCAAATCGGGCGGGGTGAGAGAATGGTTTGGAACTATTTTCTTCTCTCTTACTTCTTTCCTCAGTACTCTCATCCTTACTTCTTTTCCTTCTAGCCACCGTAATTATAACTTAGGGTCTCAAATAAACTCTAGCCTCCTAGTTCCCACAGTATGGTTAAACTCTAGAGCAACAATGATAGTTCTGCCCTCTGGTGCTCATTCACAATGCTGAGTACTTTACACACATCTGCACATTTACTTCTTCCACGACTTCATGAAGTACCCACTGTATACCTATCTTTCACACAAGCTGCTAAGGCACTTGCCTCGATCACAGGGCTACTGCTACACACTGTTGCAGAATTTTCAATCCAGGGCTTTGTGATTTAAATATCTGTGCTCTTATTCACCAGGCCACAGAGATTCCAGAATTCTTGATCAACTGTTGTTCACCACACATACTTCCAAAAATTATTATATATCCATGCTGATACTTTGAGTAAAACTAAGCCATGCCAAAGTCATAAATCACCAAGAAGATGGTCTATTTGACTGACCAGCACATGGTTCCAAAGAGAATTATTTTACTTCTATGATTATAAACAGCTTTTCCCTAAATACACAACTGTTCAGAAAGGGATAAGAAATTGCTGATGTTAGATCAATTTTCACAATCGAACACTAGATTTAGGATCTGCTGTGTGTCTGAGTTCGTAAACATCGAATGACCCATCGAGAGAAGCTGTGATGTCATCTGGATGTATCAGCTCCATTCAATGAGTCCTAGGCTTTCTTTTGGAGCCTCCAGGGTTAGTGACTTCAGAAGTTATTGTGAGGGAGAAAGGGTAGTTATTTCCGCGCAATGACTCCTGAAGCAGAACTCAGGCCATCCAGATCTCATAGGAGGGAGAGCAGGTCGTGACTTCTTTGTGCATGCCTAGGTGATCCCTGGCCTCAGCCATGCGCTTAAGAATGCTATAGATCTCTGTGTTTTCTACATGGATCAGTTATTGTACATTATCTGCTCCTCCTTTCCCTGGAGTCTGCTTTGTACAGATTCCGAAGAAATGAGCCGGGCGGTGGTGGCGCACGCCTTTAATCCCAGCACTCAGGAGGCAGAGCCAGGCGGATCTCTGTGAGTTCGAGGCCAGCCTGGGCTACCAAGTGAGTTCCAGGCCAGGCGCAAAGCTACACAGAGAAACCCTGTCTCGAAAAACAAAAAAAAAAAAAAAAAAAAGAAATGGCTCAAACTGAAGGAAAAATGAAGAAATACATGAGCAAGAAATATGAGTAGTCCCTGGAAGCAATCAAATCTATTTCTAAAAGAGTGTGGTTTCCTCCTATTCATGCATTATGAGCCAGGCCATATGTTACAAACACAGCTCGCCCCGTATATCCAATAATTCAGAACCAGTATCCACACACTGCTACATACCTCCCTGAGTCATGCCTATGAAAAGTTCCAATGGCTTGTATGGACTTGATACTGGTGCCAATTTATCACTCCATTTTGCCAGCCTAATATTATCCCTAGTTTCCAGATAACCTAATCATTACAGTAACTGCATGCCAAAAGAAAATTAAGAAAGTTGAGCATGTCCTGGCTTCCAACTGTCTCCAGTCATTATCCACAGTCAACTAATATACCTGAGTTTCCCTATCTAAGAAGTGAAGGCCTTGTTACATGATGGCTTCTTCACATTGTTGAGAAGGTCTTAGTAATATTAAAGGATCTTCTATAGGGTGTTATTTCAACAACTTTCTAATTGTTCT